TCAAATCTCAAGGCGTCAAATCAAGACACGCCGATGGTAGGCACTTCTGGCGTTTAGTCAATTAACGCCGATCCAGACATTGGAATCTGCTGGTCCTGAAGGGACGAGGTGCCCAAGCTTGAGTAGTAAATTGACGCCGACCCTTTAGAAACGGTGTTTATTCATTTGACGCAGAGAGATAGGGCCGTGGGCTGAATCGACGACGCCCACGGCCCAACGCGTCGGCGTGGCTCGACTCAACGCCTCTGTGTTCAAACTCGGCATGGACCGACCGACTTCCAGTTGAGTGAAGCCCAAACTGGTATTTCGGTTGAGCCAAACCCTAGGGTCGACGTGGGCCGACTCAACGCCATTTTCTTTACCTCGGTAATGGGTAATGACTCGACGCCATTCTCTTTTTCTTTTTTTTGTTCTACTTCTTTTTCCTTTTCTTTTTTTTATTATTCTTTTTGGTACTCTTTTATTATTTCTTTTATTCTCATTTGTAATGTTCGATTTCAATCCCCCTATTCTTAGAGAGAGTCAAATCTTTTTTTGAGTTTTGGAATCAACCATAGTACATGAAACTTAGAGATAGGTAAACTACAATTTATGAAATAGCGAATGCACTACGATTACACTCACATGAAAACTAACAATGGCATGTCACAAACTAAACCTACCATGCCTTAGGGATTGAAAGAAACAAGTGATACATACGTTACAAAGGTACTACGATTACACACTCACATGAAAACTAACAATGGCATGTTGCAAACTAGACCTAGCATGCCTTAGGGGTTTGAGAAGAACAACTCATACAAGCATTCCACATTCGAATTGACTAACAAACAAAGGTTGATCCTAATAACGGTCCCACATATTGAACTGAGTTGCGCCTTTCCCACAGTATCCCCCAAATGACGGAGGCGGTGGCGGTGGCGGTGGCGGTGGCGGTGGAGAAGGAGGCCCATGCTTCTTATGGTACGGGCACTGGCAGTATGGATTATTGCATGGTGCCTCCTCTGCATCATTGCTGTTGTCGTCGTCCGACTTGTCCTGTTACCACTTCTGAGGCCATACTCTAGGTCAAAGATGCGCCCTCAGATATGTGATCATTGTTGATGGAGATAGATAAGAATCGATCCATCTAGTGAAGCCACGATTATCGGGACAGCTTGAATCCTAAAAACCCATCTACCAATAAGTACTACTATAAACCAAATGCAAATCTAAAAAAAAGAAGAGAGTTCAAAGGAAATACAAACTCGTGGGCATCTGGAGAAGAAACGACGGCCTCCACAGTCCAGATCGTTGTACATCCGCACAACACAATCCAAGAGGATGGCATTTTGGCCAATCTTCAATGCGCTTGTCGATGATCTAAGAGGTCTCTCACGGGTGAAGTCACTCTTCCTCTCCAAAGAAAATTCCTCTATTGGTTCTTCAAAAGAATCAGGACCCAGAGAACTCTCCCACACAATTGGAGGTCCCTTCCTCACCCCCTTTCCTCTCCCTCCGTCGAAACATTTTCCACTCGAGAAACCTCCGCTCGACATTTGCTAAAACTAAACCAGAAAATAAGTTGTGTGGATGTGGAGCAAGACATAGAGCACTATATATAGAGATGAAGGCAGGTTCACCATGAATGCTACTTGACAAAAAACTTGTGTGCATACTCATTTATTGAATCTGCAAAGGCTAGATGCTTCATCTGAAAAGCCTACAACCATGACTGCTCATTTCATCTGAAAAGGCTACACCTGTGTTTTGTCACATCATATAAATGCAGTACATCACTCTGATATTAATTCATTGCGTATACGGATACAACAGTAAACGAATCTAGGCTTTTCAGCGAGTTTTCAAATAGACTTTTCATTGATGCAACGCTACTTGTAAAAAACTGATTGCAACAAAGACAAGTAGCCTTTTCGGTGATACAACAAGTAGCACTACTGAGTTCTAAGATAGTTAACGAAGCACAGGGCATAAGACCATCCGAAATAAAAGCATAGTGCATTACAACATAATAAAAAAAGTCCAGGGAATAAGTTCATCTAAAATAAAAGCAGAGTGCATTACAACATAGTAAAAAAAGTTCATCTGAATGGAGGGAGGAAGAAGAAGGGGGCCTCGACACGGCCTTAAGGGACCAGACCTCGGCGTTGAGTCGGGCGCGCCGCCGAGGCGGGTGTGTCGGCGTTAAGTGACCCCGCCGCGAGAAGCTCATGAGGCCACGATGCGTTGTTACTGGGGCATATGGCCGGATGGTGCCCATAGCTCGGCCTTCAATCCCGCCAGCACGAGGTTGGGCCCGTGGCGTGGTGACGGAGCCGACGACGTCTCGGACCCCAATTCGGTACTTTCGACCGGGTCGTCCGTGACGTGGCAATATCTCGGCGTCGTGTCAGTCGATGCCGACCCTCATACCTCGGCGTCATGTTCTAAGACGCCTAAAAATGATCTATTTTTAGAAAACGTTTTAGCGTAGGTTTTTTTATAAAAAATGTTTTCAGAAGGGAGCAAAATACAAAAAATTCCACGCGGGCGCGCGGCAGTGCAGTGCGCGGTGCAAAAGGACGGCGTCATGTGCCAATGATGGCAGTGATTCGCGGCAGCTTTCAGCTACCGACACCGCGAGCTACTGCTGTCTACTCCGACGACTCTACTCTCTCTAGCCTTAGCCGTGTCTCGCCTTTCAACTGCAGTGCGTGGCCGGTTGGCTTTGATTGTCACGGCGCGATGGTTTATGGCCCAACCAAGGCGACGCGCATTCATGGCGAGCTAGCGCTGTGTCCCAACCCCCAACTGTGCCACCCGCCAGGGACGTGTCGTCGTCCGCCTGCGGCTGCGGCCTTTCTGAGCTCAGGACGAGGAAGGAGGGCAGCGGCAGACAGGCACGCATGGTGGATTGGTGGCCGTGGACCGTGGCTGGCGGGGGTCAGTCGGTTCAGTTCACTTCACGCGTCACCGCCCCCATTGGCGTCTGTCGTCGTCGGACGCCTTCGTGGACGAACCCCGGATGCGTCAGGCACTCGCCCACGGACCCGGGGCACCCGGCGTCGACGATGACGATGACGACGAGGGGCTTGGCAAGTTGGCAGCAGCCATGGCGGCGCCGGGGACGGATGAACGTGGCGTTCGGCGAAATGCCGGTGGTGAACGGGGGTGGACAGACACAAGGCAGAGGCTAAATGTGCAGGCAACAGCGACCAGACGACCAGCGAACTAGCGAAGCATTGTCTGTGTTGTACAAGGGCTAAAGCATATAGGAGTAATAAAGTATGTTGTTCTTCTCAGAATTGTACAATAAACTTTAGGTTGTGAACTTGGGATCCAAGCTCAAACCCTTGTCAAAGTGAGTCTGTCTGCGTTGCAAGGTGAACTGAATTTTTGCAAATTTGTTAACCAGAATGTGCAACGTTTTTCATTAAGACATGGATGGAGAAAAGGGACAGCCGGTAATCTACTTAACACATGGCTATAGCTTTCTTCATAAATGGATATTTGCATATTTTTAGCTTGAAAAATTACACGGTGGGAACAAAACAAATTCACGGAACAACATACCTAAAAGGCTAAAATGCAGTAAATTGTAAAATATTAGAGCAGTTGAACTGTACATACCATTATATTTTCTAATACTGAAAAATCTGCTGCCGTCAAGGAAGCTGAGATGCATGGGTATGTTCTACTTTGGCATAGTCATGATCTGATGACCATGTGGACCACAGAAAAATTTCCTATGTGGAGTTCATTTTATCGGTTTCTTCATGTACAACTATCAATACATCTTTATCAGTTTGAACACATCATGTGTTTCACGATTCTGTTTGATGACCTGATCTCAACGACGAATTGCCTGAATCATACGTGCATTGCACCTACAGAACTGGCCATTTCCAAGAGCTCCTGCTGCTCCATTGTCGCACAAGATTGTAGATGTTTCAATGACAAATGAAATTGTTACTTGAATTCATGTTATTACATCATCTGTGCTTTAATAATTGCGTGTTGCCACATTTACATAGTTTTTTTTCTCAAGTAATATACCTGAACAGCTGATTCGATGTCTCCTAAAAGGAAGCCGGTCAGTTCAAAGTCCATCTTTAACCGATGGTCTGTCACTCTGTTATCCTGTGACCAAAACACCTCTATTTCACTATACATATATAAATGTTGGAGACATGAACATGCATTTATAAAGCATAAGAAGAGCTCCTTCAAAAGAACAGAGAAATAAAAGACAACAACGTAAACATGAGAAAACAACATAAACAGTTCTAGGTGATAGATGTCCTGCTACCTTGTAATTGTACGTCTTTATCTTCTCAGATCGAGCACCAGTACCAACCTTCAGTTGAACATGTATTACTAACATTGAACAGAGGGGATTACATAATCTTTCATGATGGCCAACTCTATTTCCTACACAAACTGAAGGCAACTAGCTTTTGTTCTCTTATCATGGTTTATTTTTTTGTGAATTTCAACTGGATATTATACTGTTCTAATAAATGTCTACTACACTGCTACTGTGTATTGAATTTGAGCATTTATCATCTGATTTCAATTGGACACAACAGCTATGACCTTTGGAAGATGCGATGCTTAAATAAGAATAGACAACATACCTGCAATTTCCTCTGGTTTTCTTATTGATTCTTGTTGCTCCCTTAATTTTATCTCATAACTGTAATGTTCATGGTACATACATTGTATATAAGGAATGGTAAAAGATTACATAAGGATGACCATGTATTATATTGGGTACAATATATAACTTGGCAACAATATATTCCCTCTACTTTGAATTAAGGGATTTCTAAAACTAGAATTTACACTGTAATTATGGTCCTCTCATCAAAGGACATGTTTAGAAGCAAAATAGCTGAGGTGATAGAAAAATATAGAGAAATATAATTCATGGTTTTAAAAGCTATAACAACTTACAGTTTTGCTCTCAACAATTGAAATGCCCGCTCTTTGTTCTGTAGCTGTGATCCCTCTTCTGTACTTCATGTAGGCTTGTGAATAAGATTAACAGTCGTCTCCACCTTGTTAACATTCTGCCCTGCATTGATTGAAATGTTAGAAGATGCTCAGTTGTAAGGGAGCAATACAGAAAACCCAATACTCTACTACGACATAACACAATTGGAAAGTGATATTACCTCCAGCTCCACCAGATCTTGCTGTTTTAAGCTCAATATCTTTTGGATCAATAACCACATCAAGTTCATCGGCCTACTATGCCATTGAAACAACATTAGGCGTCTCAGAAGAAGAGGGAATTCATGTCATAAAATAAAACTTCACACAAATGTCAAAATGGTCCACCTCTGGCATAATAGCTACAGTTGCTGTTGACGCATGAACATGGCCCATAGTCTCTGTCTGGGGAACACGCTGAACACGGTGTACACCTGACTCAAACTTCAATTTACTATAGATTTGTTTCCCCTTGACCTCCATCACGTATGTCTTGTATCCACCCATTTCTGCCTGAAAGGGACAGCTTGTGAGCAGTGTTTTTCTTATTCAATAGTCAGGTTAAGGTTGCAAGTACATACTTCTGAGCTGAGAAACCGGCTTAAACTTCCAGTTGTTGCGCTCACAGTATTTCTGAAACATGCGTACCTACAGAAAGTCATTGGCATATTTAGTAGTGGATTCTGTGAGCAAATTTGCAGATATTACACACGTATATCAGAAGTATAACTGCTATAACGACAATAGAAAAATGAACTAAGAAGAGCTTATATTCCAAAAAAGAAAATCGAAATCCTACTTGCACATTCATTATTTATTCTAGGTTATTTTTCCAAATAAACATCAAGGTCTGTGTGTCCAGCTTTAGTACTCTACTATTTGAACAAAATGAAAAACAGCTATATCTCATTTGCTAAATTGCACTCAATTGGAATAAAATCATCATCTACCTACAAGGTCACCAGCTCAAATTCCAGCTTAGTCACCACCAGCACCTGCTCTTACTGCAGAAACAAAGAAAGACAGTTCTCAGTTTCAAAACATGAATGAAAAAAAAAAAACTTGTACAGCAAAGACGTTGAATACTCATGGGATTGCCATATAACTAGGTTGAAATGTACAACTGAGAAACGGAGAGAGGTACCTTCAAGTAAGATGTTGCGTGAATCTAGAGGATCACTTGGAAGCAGTAGTAACTAACATGAGGAAATAAGAGCGGATGAGAGGCACTTCAAAATGTCTAGTGTATGCTTTCTCCAATGAAATACAGAAACAGGCATTGTAGAATGCATAAAGTTAAACAGAATGTCCAGAACTTCTGTAGTTATTGTGCATAGTGTTATGTCCTATTCACCTTTAATTTTTCTTCAAGCTCTGCAAGCTAGTTAGATAGATCCTGGAGCTCAGCAGCTATCATCTCTGACATATCATGGTCATCTTCGTTTTCTTTTTGCACAGCTATGATGTTGCAAAGGAAAAAAAAAACTAGTGAGAGTCTAGTATTTTCTCACAGGCACAAGAAATACCATAGTGAGTAAGCCAAATAGCTGATCCAGTTCAGAATTTTTTTTTTTGATAAGTCGACGGAGGCGGAGAGAGTCCCCCACCTGAATTATATTGATAAGGTGGCTCTCAAAGCCTAATGTTTGGAATACATTGTTTACAATTTCTCGCTTGACTTTTACATTGCGTTAACTATAGTAGAACGCCAAACGCAGCTATGTCTCTGTCTTTCTTTGGCAATCTAACCTTCCATAGTTGAGCTTCGATTTGCATGCCGTAAGAGTTCCTTGGAGCGTGGTCCTGTCATTCCTGAAGACTGCTATTCCTTCGCTTCCAAATATGCCAGCAGCACAAGAGCAGAAATGTTTGAAAGTGTTTGGCTGGGATATGTGTTGGCGGCGTGATCTGCTGGAGTTGTGTCACCGACCAGCTGTCATCAGCAGGGCAACCAAAGATGACATGATCTGCCGTTTCATCCGCTGCATGGCAGATATCACAAACTGGGCCTTCCACGATCCTCTTCCTGGCTAGATTGGCCTTGCACTGTAGTCTTCCTTGTGATAGCAGCCACGCAAAGAATTTGACCCTAGGCGGCGCCTTGTTGTTCCATACAAACTTTGCCCAAGGTTCAGGATTGGAATCAGCCGTTTTCAGTGCCCTGTACAGCATGAAGGTATCTAAGTCACCATTTGGCTTGATCAGGGGGCTCTGTCGACGGTCTCTTCCCTCCTGTAACTGCTGCTGTTCAATAATTTCAGTGACTTGGGGTGAGTTGTAATTCTGCTGCTGCCGATCACCGAGGCACCATGCTGCTCAAATGGCACCGTTCACTGCTTGTCTGACGGTCATCTCCTGTATTCTGCAATGGCTATAGAGCTCGGGAAATTTATCCGCCATTGGGTCATCGCCATACCAAACATCATGCCAGAAAGAAGTGCTTGCTCCATCTCCCAAGATCACAGTGGTGATGGCTCTGTATATCGGCAGTAGGGACCTTAGCATATCCCAATGTTGTCCGTGCAGATCACCAGTTAGAGACGCAATATTGGCATTACTCTGTACCCACCGAGCCCATGATGACACCTGTTCAGAATGTAGTTTGTGTATCAATTTGAGCAGCAGGCATGTATTCTGAACCCCCAAATCCTTGAGGCCGAGCCCTCCTGCTTCTTTTGTGTTGCAAACATGCTCCCAGTTCAGAAATACACTGAGCAAGTTTTTGGTATTCGCTTGGATCTGAGACAATGTCAGGATCTGCCAACCTAGTCTGTAGTATACATTCAAGCATCAGACTGAATGTTTGGCTGAGGCCTTGTTTAGATGGGTGTTAGAAATCAGTATTTGACACTGTAGCACTTTCGTTTGTACTCCCTCCATCCCAAATTGTAAGACGTTTGACTTTTTTGGCCCCAAGTTTGACCACTCGTCTTATTCAAAAAATTTGTGTAAATATAGTCAAATTTAAGTCATTCTTGAAGAATTTTTATTAATAAACCAAACCACGATGAAAGAAGTGATATTTTACACAAATTTTTGAATAAGACGAGTGGTCAAACTTGGTGTCAAAAAAGTCAAACGTCTTACAATTTGGGATGGATTGAGTATTTGACAATTATTGTCCAATCATGGCCTAACTAGACTCAAAAGATTCGTCTCGTAATTTACAATGTAATTAGTTATTTTTTTATCTACATTTAATACTCCATGCATGTGTCAAAGATTTGATGTGATGGAGAGAGAGTGAAAAAACTTTGAATCTAAACAAGGCCTGAGATCAAAATTGAAAATTTTCCATATCATTACAACAGCAACGCAGTTTATATTGCCTACATATGTATTAATTTTTCTTTCCCGTGACATAAATGGGAAGTTCAGAATTGATTTAGTACAACATTGAAGCCGGACCTAACTTAGTTCTAAAATTAATTTTCCACAAGACCACAACCGACAACTTCAGCGCAATAATAACAACGGCGATATAAACCAGTTGGTAAGACTAATAAAAGAGTGAGACAAAGGAACCAATGGTGAACACACAACACAGGACAGATAACCATACCGACATTTCTTTCCAGGCCTTCTCTGCAGAATCCAGCTTGGCAATCAGATAGGGCTCCTGCACAGATATGAACAATGGATTCGGTCCGAGTGCGAAAGGTAGGATTTTCAGCGACTAAAGCACACAATGTTCAGTTCAGCTTCAGCGTGAACACAATTCAGGGTAATTAAGTGACAACAAGCCATTTCATAAAATAATTCGACCGCCAAATGTGAAATGGCTCAGAACCACTATATTAGGTTACAGCTGATCTCTGTCTCCAAGAAATGGCCGGTAAATCCGGAAATGGAGATAGCCGCCGAAAAGGAATGATTTTCTTTTCCCTTACCGGCATGCAGACCACGGAGGAGGACGGCCGCCTGCGGCTCCTGCCGTGGAAGAGAGGAAGGCCGGAGAGACGCGGGGACGGCGCGTGGAGGCGCCCTGAAAAAAGGCAGAGGGGAAGGCAGTAGGCACCAGCTGCGGATAGAAGACTGCCTTTTTTCAGCTGATGTGTGGTTGTCGGCTACTGGAAAGCCGACAGGTATAATGTCGGTTCTCTGGATGGCCGACTAGTCTCATGCTCGAAGAGCCGGCATATCCTATAGGCTCTCCAGAGGCCGCATGTCTATCGAGTATCGACACACCCAGTTACACTATTGAAGCATCCCTCCCGCAGGAGCTAACCCAACTGCACGGACTTCTGCTGCTGGCGGCTGGCGAGTCTCTCCCGGCGGCGAATTTTTCTACAGGAACCGATCCCTTCCCGTCATCCGAGATGCTACGGGAGATGGTGGCGCGGAACACCGCGCAGGTCGTCGTCCTCGTCCAGCGGCCAGCGCATGACATGGCCTTGCGGCAACGGGCTTGCGGCGAGTCTGCAAGTGGCCATGCCGGATGTGAATTCGGTTGTGCTCTTGTTGATTTCGTTTGCTTTGGCTTCGATTTGTGACAGCCTCTTCCGTCCATCTTTGCAATTCTAGAATTAAAAATTGACCTCTTGCCGTGATGTGCTGCCTGATTGGTTAGATGGAAGAGGCCACTTGAGTTTTGCTGTAATCACTACGGATTACAAAAAAAAACCTATGTGGTGTATTGGTGTGTAATGGGTTGGTACTGGTCACGTGGATCCCATATATTTGTGCCAAATCATACCAATCCATACATTTATTCAAAACAAATAGATTATTCCATGCTGTACAAGTAACCAAACAATCAACCTGTACCATCTATCTATTCAGGATGGTTCATCCCATTCATCTCTATATACCCAACTAAACGCTATCTAAGGTAAGTAATCCCACCATTAATCCTAACATGACTTAGAAAAAGTAAACAAAGCACGACTTGCAATAGCATGTGTAGAACTATGTACTTCTAATATTTAGAGGTCCACCACTAGTGCTAACGCTTGTGTTCGGCTGGTGGACTCAACAGTAGATTTTAGATGGTTCTGGATGATTCAATAATATTCTGTGTGAGAGAATAAGCTAAAACAAGCTAGTATATGACCAGCCGAACGCGCTGAACATGTCTTAGGGAATTTAACTTGCTAGGTCTATTACATTGTTCTACTGGGTGCAGCGTGGTTATTTCCCTTTTCTATCGCGCCCTAAAGATGGTTCCGCTGCATCCTTTTTGTTCTTGAGAGCTGCCTCCCGGATTTTTAGCTCTTTCTCCTGACGCTTGATGGCTGCTTCACGCATACTTAACTGCTCCCTCCTCCTAGCAAGGTCATCCTCCTTCCCCTTCAGACGGATTTGGTCGACCCTAACGCGCCACTCTTGCTCCTCCCTAATTTTCCGGACCTTCTCGCGCTCCTGAGTCATCTTCACGTAGTATTAGCCTTTGGTTTCCACCTCCTGTGGGAGATTTCCTAGCCATGTTGGAAACTTCTGATCCACCCATTGAACCCACTTGCAAAGGGAGATTTAGTTGTCGTTCTTACCATGAAGTCATTATCCAGGTCAGGGCACGTGAAGTACCTACAACCGTAGTGACCACCTTCAAATGACATGGACAGGATCGTCCTAAACCCGCAATGGCACTTTGGTCGCTCACGCGACTCTGGGAGTTGAGTTGGGTTGGTCCTCTAGGACGACATTGTTTCTTAGTTGAATGGGGAGGGGAGGCGGCGAGAGATGTATGCAAAAATCTTCCATGAATATGTCATTTGTGGATTCTGAACGACTAAGGCTGCCGCTTCACAACGCTCTCGCAGATACAACATTGTGCCCCTCAGGATACCCTCCACAATTGCAACCAAAGGAAGCGACCGTGTACCTTTCAGCACCCAGTTGTAAACCTCCGCTAGATTCGTTGTTATTATGCCGTAGCGTGCACCATAGGTGTCATGCAACAATGACTACTTCTCGATGAGCTCCTCTTTAATCCAATCTGAGAAACACTTTAAAGACCTGCCCCCTTGCGTCGATGAGTTTTGCTTTTAGGATCATTAGGATCGGGACCAAGGCCTTGCGGCTCCTCCTCTCATGCCACAATAGGTTGACGACACACTTCTTTCATGTGGCTTGTGGTCAGCTCGTCTAACCGTTGCTAAAGGAAATTGAATTTTTTTTCTGGTTCTGCTTGCATAGCCTCTTGAACAGGTCCATCAAGCGCTTGCTCCTGAACTGCTTGTAGAAATTACTAGCTAGATGCCTCATGCACCAACGACTTTGTATATCAGGCCATTGGACCTCTGGATCCCTACCGTTCTTCAACTTATCCACTGCATTCAATAAACCTACATTACGATCATGCATGACACAAACATTTTTCCTTTCTTCCACGAGAGCTCATTTCAGCAACTTCAGGAACCACAACCAGCTTTCGCTGTTCTCCGATTCAACTAGAGCGAAAGCAATAGGCACAACCTGGTTGTTGCCGTCCACCCCTATGGCTGTTAGCAACATACCTCTGTATTGGCTAGTCAAGAAAGTACCATCGACACATAGTAGAGGTTGGCAATGCTTGAAGGCCTGTATCATGCACCCGAAAGACCAAAAAGCTTATTTGAGGACACGGTCCCCCTTCATGTTCATGTAATCATTAATATCAATTATAGTTCCAGGGTTTCTCGCTTGAATGGTTGCTAAAAGAGTTGGCAGGTGGAGATATGAGTCCTTATAATTACCGAATCTCTTCTCCAAGGCTAGTTGTTTTGCTCTCCAAGCCATGTCATAAGAAATCTCATAGTCATATCTATTCTGAATAGCAAGCATTATCCAAAATGGAGACATCCTAACTTTTTCAACTATCTCGCCATACATTACGTTTGCCACGAATTCTGCCGTCATGTTCTTATGCTTGATCAACGTTGTCTACAGCAAGCAACTGTGTGGTTGGACAATAGTGGCTATGAAGTTGCCCTTAGTACGTAGCATATGACATGAACACGCCGAGTACAACCTGGGGTTACACACTTCCTGTCCCACGTCGTGGGGTTAAAAATAACCACCTTAGACTGCTTCTTTTCGAAAAAAAAAACCCACCGCCGAACTGCATGCTAATGTACGTGGTGGACGCGCGCTTGGACAGCCGTGGCCGGCGTCGCTTCCCCGCGTGCCCGCCCGTCGGGCCTAGCTGGCACCGAGCGGACGACGAGGGCGACAGAGACGGCAACGGCGCTGCCACTGCGCCCGTCGGGGGACAGTCCATCGTCGTGTCCGTGAGCGGATCCGAGGCGTCATCGAAGAGGGAGAAGTGGAGCGTGCGCGCGATGGCCGCATCGGGAAGGAGTGGGACCGGAGAAGTTGCGGAAACCCGTCACAACCATGTATGCCAGTGTCAGCGGCGTGGCTACTGCCTAATTATTTACTATTTGGCTCTTTATTTGAACAAAATTTACGTTTGTCTCTTGAGAGATTTAAACTCATCTTTAAACCTTGGAGGTTGACGTCATGAGTCCTGACGTCGAGGTAACACGTCTCGGCACCACAGATCTTGACATCGAGATATCTGACCGTGCACAGCAGAAAATCCTAGATGACATTGATGCTTCCAATACCTCATCGTCAGAACATATAGGGCTGAGCTCGACGCCACGTATCTTTACCTGCGGTGCGTAGCGGCGTGTAGGGCATGTCCGCGGATGGGACTCGACGTTGGGGCTGTGGCGAGCCCAGCGGACGCGACGTTGGGGCTGTGCGCTCCTTGAAGATCCACACAATCAATCAATCAATCTCCTCGGTCCTCACAGCAATTGAAAAAGTTCGAGCACACTGTGTGCACGGGAGGCGAAGTGGCGAACAGCTCCGTGAAGAGAGCAAGGGGAGGCAGTGCCGCAACAGGTGGAGCATTGCATTGCGCATGCACAGCACAGTTTTGCTGCGACGCTACTGTTGCCACAGTGCTGTACGCAAGCTGGTGTGGTGAGCGCAGGAACCGACGCGTTCAAATTCGCGGCTGCTGCTGCTGCTCAGCGCTCGCTGCATGTACAGTGAAATGGACTAGCAGCTAGAGCGAGCTAGCTAGCTACTACTTCCTGCAAAGATGGAGGGCATGGCAGCAGTTTCGCACCGACAGAGACATGCAGAGCCAAGGGGCACAACACAAGACGTGCACAGCACAGGGGACTAGGCCCTTGTTTAATTCTAAAAAGATTTCCAAAAAAGTACTACAGGATCCATTACATCGAATCTTGCAATACATACATGGAGCATTAAATGTAGACGGAGAAAAAAACTAATTGCACATTTTTGTGGGAAATTGCGAAACGAACATTTTAAGCCTAATTAGTCCATGATTGAACACTAATTGCTAAATAAAAATGAAAGTGTTACAGTAGCCAAATTTCTAAACTTTCGCCAACTAAACAAGGGCTAGGTGTCTATTTAGTTTCTAAAATTTTGCAAAAAAATTTTAAGATTTTTCGTCACATCGAATCTTTGGATGTATGCATAAAACATTAAATATAAATAAAAAAATAAAACTAATTACACAGTTTAGACGAAATTCACGAGACAAATCTTTTAAGTCTAATTAGATTATTATTAGATATTAATTACCAAATAACCACGAAAGTGCTACAGTATCATTTTCAAAAAAATTCGCCAACTAAAGGGAGGCGATGCCTGCGTGCACTGCCACTGACGAGCACTGTTGGCTACCTGGGGACTGGGGGCCGTGGTACAACGTACAAGTACAGTGGCAGCGGCAATGATGACGATCGACGACGGTGACAGCGACCAGCGCAGCACAGTGCGAGCGTACGCGCAGCTGCAGGGGTCAGGGGCAGGGTGCAGGCGCAGCGACAGAGAGAGAGAGAGGGAGGAGGAGACCGGGCAGGCTACGGTCTAATCGTAAGGATCGCGTGAATTGCTTGGTAGACCGGGAAGAGTATTTGGATTGCACGTGTATATTATGCAGTCAAGCTGATGAAAACAAGAGGTTCGTGGTTTTGAGCATGAGATTAATAATTTTTCAAAAATGATCCTTAGATTTTTGCCGCATGCTTACGTCTACTTGGTTCGTGCATACGAATACGAGTAAAATTTAATCTCCTGTATTATTCCACATGGGCAAAATTGGCAACCAGCTAATAATATTTACGGTGGCCCCGTTCGTTTCGTTGAAAAAACAAATCGAAATCCTGTTTCAACTAATTTATTATGAGAGAAAAATACTATTCTGGCTGAAAAAACAAACCGAAAAAGACGAATTATAAGAGAAACGAATAGGGCATGTAGTACTACCCGTTGAGATCCTGTGAGGAAACGACCGCACTACCTCAGCGATACTTTCCAGTACGAACGAATAGTATTTTCCTTTCAATATTTTAACATAAATCAAATCTCAGCGAAATGAACAGAACCATCGTGCATGTTGCGGATTTCAACTACAGTTTTGCTACTGGCTTTGTTCAAAAAAACGAATGAGTCTACTTATGAATCAAAATAAAGACGAAAGAAAGGTCTGGTTTGTTGGGAGGAATTTAGAGAAATTGAGAGGAATTTATGATAACATAAACAGTAAAAACCATTCATAAACAGTGAATACCGGAGGAATTTTGCACACCCGAACTGCCCCAAAGTTCACAGCAAGGGCGCGTTTAGTTCCGGCCAAAATTGGCGTCGGATTTCCAGATGCACTGTACTGTAGCATTCGTTTGTATTTGGTAATAATTGTTTAAATATTGACTAATTAGGCTCAAAACGTTCGTCTTGTAAAGTACAATTAAACTGTGTAATTAGTTTTTAATTTCGTCTATATTTAGTACTTCATACATGTACTACAAATTTGATGTGACGAAAAATCTTTTTTTTTTTACATAATACCAAATTCAAGAGATTGGAGGAGCTAAACATGCCCCACACGCACGCGGAAACGAAGACCGAAGATGCATTGGACCAGGACACCAGAAATCATGAAGATTTATTTATATCCTTGACTGATTGATTGATGCTCAAGTTGGTACCCGTACGTGGTCGGAGAATTGAGAGCTCGGGGTCAAACACAATCCAGGAGAAATCTAGAAGATGGAGACGTACAGGATGGAGGAGGGTAAATGAATGAAAAGATGCAGACAAAAGGTGGGATGTCCTGGTTCGGGCAATCAATCACCCCCGTAGGATTTTCTTCTGTACACGGCTAGGCATCTCGGCGTCAAAATCTGTGGCGCCGAGACGTGTTATCTCGACGCCAAGACTCATGACGTCGACCCCTAGAGGTCAAAGATGAGTTTAAATCTCCTAGAAGGTTAAACGTAAATTTTATTCAAATAAAGAATCAAATAGTAAAAAACTAGGTGGCTACTGTCCATCTAGTCCAATGAAGTTTGGATTTTTATCATAAGATGTCCAACTATCCAATGTTGATTTTGAACCTCACCTCCAGCTATGTCCAAGGTCAAATAAATCCAGTTCAAAAGAATCCACAAAGAAAAACTCCGATTGGGCACGGGATGACGTCCCCAGGTGTACTTGTCGGCTTCTGGGCGGCCTATAGGGACTTGTTCCCTTTTGTACGATCGATAGGTACCTGTCGGCGCCTGGTAGGCCGATAGGTCTTTGTTCCCTTCTTAGCGGTTGATAGGTACCTGTCGGCGCCTGGAACGCCGATAGGGACTTGTCGGCGCCTGGAAGGCCGACAGGTACCTGTCGGCTCCTGGACGGCCGATAGGTACTTGTCGGCGACTTGAAGCCCGATGTGTATCTATCGGCGCTTGGAAGGCCGATAGGTGCCCATCGACGGTGCCCTAAAGGCCATCCCACGGACCACTAGTAAATCTAACAATAGTTTTCAATTGTGACAGTTTTTTGTCAGGCGCTCCTTCATTTTTTTCGATTTTAGAACTCGTCAGGACGTATTGGCTATGAATTTTTGGGTTGAGCAACAGCTCAGAATTTGTGGATAAACACATCTTGCATGAACCAAAACTCGTCCTTGCTCGCAACTCAAACGCCGCTGAAAGTTGCTCTTCTTGTTCATGTCCGATGAACATGTGCCCAGCCTCCTTGTTTTAGCATCAACATCTGGGGGTTGACGCGTGTCGTTACAGCACGGTTGTTGAGGTGAACAAGTTCCCTTGAGCTGGGAGGACAGGCGCCATACAGAAACTCAGAAAGGGTTCCACCTCAGGTGCAGATCGCCAACTGAAACAGTGCTTGTTTTCAAGCACCACTAGTACTTCAACCTTCAAAAACACAAAGTAATATCTCTACATTGGGCACCAAATCAGAGACCGTCTGTCAGCTCAGTGACGAAGAGGACAAGGTGATCTGGAGGTGGACCTCAGACGGAACGTTCACGGTGCGATCTGCATACAACGCCCTGCACATTCCATCACTCCCAATCCCCGACTGTGATCTGATCTGGGAAGCTTGGGCGCCGCTGAGAGTCAAACTGTTCATGTGGCTTGCTATTCGTGCGGAAGGCAGTGGACAGCGGACCGTCGGCGACGACACGGCCTTGACGCTGACGACCACTGCTTCCTATGTGACCAGGAGCCCGAAACCATCAACCACATCGTTGTTACATGCTCTTTCTCCCAGCAGATTTGGTGGAACATCGCTGCAGCGCTCGGACAGCCGATGATGACCGGCAATGGACAAGGGCTGAGGCACGGGGAGCAGACTCCATCTTCCTACTAGTCTCCTGGGAGCTGTGGAAAGAGCAGAATGCCAGATGCTTTCGAGGAGCGAACACTCAAGTGCCGCAAATCCTAGCTGTGCTCAGGCGTGAGGCGGAGTTCTGGGTCCAAGCCGGAGCCCAGAATCTTGGTTGTCTGTTACGCCGAGTAATCCATTAGCTAGAATCAGCGCTGGGCGGGCATGAGCAGATTGGAAAACCTTGTAAAGCCCGTCTTGTAATCCAAACAATTTCTATCTTAATACAAAGACGCACAAATTATTTGCGTGATCAAGAGAAAAAAAAAACACAAAGTAATGTCAATTTATGAATACTGAAATCGATCATAGAAGTGTCTGTGGCGTTTCATTCACAAAAATATGATCATGTGAACTAATGTCACAAAAATGAAGCTTCCATTTAGCAATGAAGTTCAGTTCTTCACCTTGTCAGATGGTTCCTTTTTGCTCCCTCCAAAACCAACAAGCACAATCTTGTCCCTGTAGTGCAATGGAGCTGAAACCCTGCAAAAGTTTTGTGTTCCATTGTGCATCAACTAGAGAAATGGTTAGCACACAAATAAACATAAATATCAAAAGATTCTTCCTCTGAAGACTCTTTATTATACTATAGAATGGGCAACGCATTAAAGTTATACTGTTATAGTAATTCAAATGTCCACTATTGAAGTACAGTTCCCGTGGAAAACTATTACAAAGATAGATGTTTGAAAAGTAATTTGAAGTTTTTTTTATCTATGCAATAGATATTATATATTTGGAGGAATCTTATAATATGCACTATGCAGTGCTCAAAATTTTCAGGATAATCTTAAATAAAAGAAACCGTATCTGCTTTCCAACATTGCATGGAAGGTGAATTCCTTGTGAAGTCAGACATGCCAAGGCTTGTGTGGCGCAATTGGGCACCACCGAAATGTAAATTCTTCACTTGGCTGGTCCTCCAAAACCAAATCTGGACCGCAGATCGTCTCGTAAAGCTTGGTTGGCCAAATCAAGGAACATGTCCCTATGTCATGCCACAACTACAAATGTTGTTCGCTTGGTTGTTCATTGCTAATACTCTATTCAGATTTGGGATCTCATCTTTGCATGGTTTCCCAACACTTACCATCGCGCAGCCAATGGCAGCACTACTCCAGGGTAAAGGATTAGTGGACGGAGATGGCCAGTCAACAAGGCTTCCTGTTAAAGGGCTTTCTCTCTCTTTTGTTGTTAGTCATGTGGGAAATCTGGAAGGAGCGTAACGCGTGTTTTTTTAAAACAACACTTGTCAATTCCCTCACTGCAAACCAAAATCAAGGAGGAGGCTCGCACCTGGTGCGCTGTAGGAGCGAAGCGCCTTATTGAGATCTTGCGATTGAGAGTTTGCATTTGGTGTGTTTCTTCTCAATGCCAACCATTGGATCAAAAGTGTGTTTCTTCTCAATGCCTCAAGATCATCTCTCATGGATTAAAGGGCCCACAAAGTGGACAACCCAAGTGACAAAGTGGCCCCACTAGAAGAAACCCACACTAGAAGAAAAGGAGAAGCACCCCACCCTTCGCGTTTGGCCCCACCTGTCATAGGGGGGTTGGCTGACCCCCTAGATGGTCGGGCAACCACCCCACCTTCTCCACCGCCTTCCACCTTCGTGCATGTAAACAAACACAACATTAAAAGATCTCAACCATGCATTTTAAGGCAGTTTGATCGAAGGATGGAGGATAGAGAGCACATGGATCCATGGGCCCACACTAAAGTGCTATAAATACCCCTTCCCCTCACTTTCATGTCATGACCACAGAGGAGGATCTACTCTCACTTTAGATAGGAGAAGCCCTGCTCTAAAAGTAGTAGTACAAATTAGGAAGAGAGTGAGGGAAGTGTGTAGAAAGGCCCGGATCTATCGGTGTATTCTCCAAGCTATACCTCGGCGGATGCGCTCTTCTTATACACAGGAAAAGAAAATGATATATTGGTGTTCTAAAAAGTAAAAACACATCTACAAAACTTAGTATTTGTCATGATGCATGATAGCAAAAAAAAATATTTAGATAAGGTACCTGCCCTAATTTTGTATTAGAAATCCTAAATTATTTCCAAATCCGATGCTTCTCTACTTTTTTTCCTTCTCTAATTAACCCTTAACACCAGCTAAAGGTAATGGTTTGGAAACCAAACCTTATCTAGGCCAAACTAATTCATAATTAAACCTCAGCCTACATGGACTGCATCGCCGAGACCGAGGGGAAGATGGCGCATGACCCGCTGACATACTGCCTGAGCTTCACCGAGGAGACCGAGGGCAAGATGGAGCAGGACCCGCTGATGTACAGCCCACGCAGCGCCGTGAGGACCACGACAACCGGCATCCCCGTTGGCGACCAAGCCGGGGCCATGCTACCGGGGACGCTGATCGTGGGCGCGGGGCCAGCGGGGTTGGCGTGCGTGGCGGGGCTCACCATGGGATCCGTGCCCTACACACTCATGGAGCGCGACGTGTGCATCGCCTCGATGTGGCACCACCGCATGTACCGCAGGTTGTGCCTACACGTGCCCAAGCGCTACTGCGAGCTGCCGCTCATGCCGTTGGTGCAGCTACCCCATGTACCCAACCCAGCAGCAGTTCCTCGCCTACATCGACAAGTACATGCGCACCTTCAGCATCTGCCCCTTCTTCCGCCAGTAAGTGGTCGTCGCCGAGCACGACGGCGAGTACGGGTGCGTGCGCACGAAGGATGCCATCACCAGCCCCATGAACAGAGGCGGTGAAGAGTCCATCATCTCCTCTACTAGGGAGTGCCGCTCCAAATGGCTCATTGTGGCCACACGGGAGAACGCCGAGCCTGTTGTACCTGAGATTGAGGGAATCCATAGCTTCACGGGCCAGGTCATGCACTCTAGCGAATACCACAGCGGCGAGGCCTCCCAAGGCAAGAAGGTGCTCGTGATCGGCCGTGGCAACTCCGGCATGGAGGTGTCTCTCGACCTCGCCAACCAAAATGTGCACACCTCCATGGTTGTGCGCGAATTGGTGAGAAATTAACTGTGTGTTTTTATTATCAGATAGATTATTAATACTTTTGTTTGCAATTTGATTATGTATTCTTTACTTTTATGTATATATATATTTTTTTTGTTATATTTGGTTCAAATATATGGAAGATGGATTTAACTGATCATTGTGATCACTATAAAAGAATTCGATAATTTTGGTAGAATTTGTTTCGTTGATACTAACATTAGTGAAAAGTTATAAGACATTTTGCATCACTTGATTTCACGTGTTTTGGTAGTTCTTGATCTCACCAAATATGTTAATCCTGCTTTTTTACAGTAAAAAAATATACACGACTTATAGAGCCCTTGGCGTGATAATAAATAGTCCGTGATTACTTCCTGAGGATTCATGAGCATTGTTGATCCTTTTTCATGGAATGGAATAATAAAACATAAAAAACAAATCCTTTTAGTCATAGTTCAGTTAGCCAAATAAACAGGAATTCTACCTATTTGGTTAACAACACTAGCACTAACAAGTTATGCCATTTTTTATATTGTGGACGACTGAATGGTCACCAACACAATTCTTTATACCATGCTACCTATATATATTATGTTGTTTTTCTATTTTTTCCATATTGGAATGTGATGTACAAATCAATACTAAAACTAGTTCAATATTTACAAGCATATATAGAAGCTGCACCAAGTGTTATTGACTTGACATGTTTTCTAAAGTTCTAGTAAAATAGGGTTAGCTCCAAGTGTTTGCCCCTCAATCTTACTTTTTTTATTTTTGCTAAATGCCTTTTTAATTTGTATCCTTATTGTAGAACCAAACCAAAACAAGTGTTTGCCTCTCAAGTTTATTTTTATTTTTTCCCTTTTTACTAAATGTATTTTTAATTTGTATCCCTATTGTAGAAGCAAACCAAAACAAGAGCCACTTAAACTTGTTGCCTCTTTCATTTTTAGTTTATATCTTAGATAGATGGTAATTTCTCTTCAATTGGTTGTAACTGTGATTAGTGCACTATCAACTTATGTTGTGAACTATAAAATCAATTGTATGTTTTGTGATGTTTGCAGGGGCACATCCTTCCAAGAGAGATCATGGGGCTCTCAACTTTTACTTTATCCTTGTGACTTCTTATGTTTCTACGTGTGCAGATAGTGGATCGAATCCTCCTCCTGCTCGCCTGGTTTATTCTAGGAAACACTGCACGACTTGGTATTCCTCGACCTAGTAGGGGCCCATTGGAGCTAAAAAAAGCGTGTGGGAAGACACCAGTGCTTGACGTGGGTACAATAGCAAAGATCAAGTCTGGAGACATCAAAGTAATTAGTTAATTCTTTTGAGTTTTTGTTGTTGTCATTATATAACTATCTTAATTGCATAGCTCATACTATTGTACTTATTGCATATTTCCACCCATCCGAGCCATTATTTCCTAAAACCGTGGTTCTTTGACTGTTTATGACGGTACGGCACGATGAGAAGGATCCAGTTCCTCCAACTAGTTCTTCCAGACCTGTTAGACGAGCACCACGCGACACCGGTTGCAATGCTTCGTCCGTCCCTCTGATCCCTACTGGCATCCTGGGCACCTGACTACTGCTGTAGAATGTCAAGAAGTCACCGGTACAACTCTGATCACTGTCGGCGTAGGCACCTGGCTACTGCTGCTGCTGCAGAAGGTCAAGCAGTCGTCAGCACAACATGACTCGATGCCGCTGCTCCCCATCGACGGCCTCGCCGGTTGAGTCGGCTCCGGTGGCGGCGGCGAAGGTTTGTAGCCTAGGAGCGTTTCCTTGTGGCTAGTGCTGTGGGGCGTCGTCGGCGATGCTGCTGTAGAGCTTTGTGTACAGGTCATCGGCGATGGAGCCTAGGAACAGCTCCACGAGGTCATCGTCCGTGCTCCACAAGATGTACATCTCCACGGGGTCATCGTCCATGCAAGCGGCGCCACCTTTAATCCGCCATGTGTTGTCCTAGGTGAGAAAAGGGCACCGCAAATATGAAACTATCGCAAACCATCTCCAAAGTCCAAACTGAACTAGCCCATTACAGCTACTGCCCCAAACTGAACCAACCCGTTAGAGTTTTCAACTTATTTCCAACCAAACCATGTTAGCCTAAATAGAAACCCAAACCAGTAAATTAAACACGGTTTTGGCCCAAACCATTACTAGGTTCAACACCAACACATGAATCCTCTATAAGAGGTAAGACACCACCACCGCTAGATTGAGTAACAGTCCGAGCATACAGACACGCCGCAAAATTATAGCGCACGCAAAAATTCTTCTCTAAAACTCTATGGGACATCAAGCTTGCTTGTTTAGCTAATATACTCGTCTTCATGTATTACATTGATGTAAAATCAACTATTGCTAACGAAACAAGCCAAAGCTAGATCGAAATAAACTAAACAAAAAGATGACCAACTATTTGAAGCATTCTAAGAAGGCAAAATGCGGGATAACTCTATGTGGCCACTCTAATTGTATAGACAAACATTGGTGCGCGACAAATTTTATATTGAGTCATACAATTTTAGTTGCTCGATCTAAGAGAAAGCGGTATCGTTTTAAATCAATTGCAATAATATAGCATAATTAACCAATTACTGGAATTCTAGAAAACGAATACACGTAAGACAATATTTTAAACAGGTATTGGTACAATTTTGATTAGTACACAACATGGAGACGGCTCGAAGGCATCATCACTAAATCTTGTTTGGCTGCAATAGTATCTATCTCAATCCCAACACATCTTAAACTAAAGTGTTTTAGTGAATTAGGGTGGAAAATTCATAAAGGAGATTGGGGGGGACAATCATAGCCGATCTGAGTTGGCTGGGATGTTTGAAGTAAATGGAGCTATTGTGGCTATGACAATGGTGAGGTCACGCTTGTGGCGAGTTGTAAGTTGAAACTTATTTTCGCTTATTTTTTTCTCGAACACATAGAAGATCTACATGCCATCGTATAGAGGCACGAGCACACAAAGGAAGGTACAAATCCTATAGTGACGCATAAAAGAAGAGAAAATCACCTACGCCCACACAACTAGCACCGAAGCATTATGGAGACATGCTTACCACATGCTGAAGAGTAACGACCAGGAAGGATTGCTCTCAATCCCTGTGCGCTAGCTAAGTTTCACAAGCCCGCCTCCTCTAAGATCTGCCTTGTGACCACATTCACTCGTGGGTCGCTCGCCGTTGAAGACACATATATTTATGTGCTTCCAAATAAGACATGATACAAAAAATAACCATGGAGTTGAAGCCCTTTCGTCTTGGCCTGTCCAGCTATCTTGCTGTCTGCCACCACCAATCTCTGAACACCAAATGTGGGGGGTCGATGGCTCTAGGCTGTGGAAACCAAATACACCAGCCTTGTAACTACACCCTCTCTTCATTCTAAATTATAAGATGCTTTGGAGTATATAGCTTTTACTATGCACTTAGGACACCCGCAATGATATGAGCTAGTTACTAGCTCTAATACAACCTCTTCAATGATACTAACTTTTAGGGTATAGCTCATAAGATGAATAGCCCTACATGTCATCCTTATACAATATTGAAACATGTGTGTCGGTGTTTCGAACAAACACGAACTAGTAAATGTATATTTGTTGCACATTAGGCTCGGATGGTGTACTAAAGGACACAAGATTTATACTGGTTCAGGCTAAATGTCCCTACGTCCAGTTTACTGCTGCTCGTGTTATTAGTATCGAAAAAGGTTCGTAGTAGGGGGTACAAATGATCAAGAGAGGGATAGGTCTCAAGTCTCTGATGGAAGAGTCGAAAGGATGCCGAGAGCTCGGTTGCTGCTTGGCTGTATGTTGTGTGTGGAATCGATCCGTTCCCTTAGCGGGGTGTCCTGCTCTCCCTTTTATAGACCAAGGGGGGAGCAGGGGTTACAGATGGGAGAAAGAGGAAAAAACCAAAGATAGAGAAGGTCTTTCGAAGGTGCCAGGTCTTCCTTTTCCCTTGAGCCTGTCCTACTGACATGGCAGACCACGCCAGGGATAGCATGTTTCGCTGATTCTGATAGGGCCGGGCTCTGGCTTCGTTTCAGCGAGTGGTCACGTCCCATCCTCCCCCGACGGACGGTGCAGTGTGTCAGGGTGCCGATCCATGACTCTGCGGGGAGTAGATAGGGAAATGACTATACACCTATTACTGTTGATGACGTGAGTTCCCTCTTGGATTGTAGTGGTTGTCGTATGCTCATGTTAGGATCCGCGCCCGAGGGCTGATGGCGGCGCCCACAACACTGTAAGACCAAAGTCGGCGCCTACAACACTGTTCGGGCTCTGCCATGCCTGGAAGGGCTTAACGTGCCCGTCACGTCGTATCTTGATGGTACCTTTATGCAGGCGTGCAGGGTATGGTCCTCGATACTACGGTTGTCTTGAATGTCCCGTCTTACCTCGTGCTCATCATCATGCAGGAGCAGAGCGTAGTCGTCGGGCGAGGCGGAGCCTGCCCTCATGCGTCGGGTGAGGCGGAGCCAGCCCTCAGCCGTCGAGCGATGTGGAGCTAGCCCTCAGCCATCGGGCGAGGCGGAGCCTGCCCTCGGACGTCAGGCGATGTGGAGCTAGCCCTCAGCCATCGGGTGAGGTGGAGCCTACCCTCGGACATCGGGCAAGGCGGAGCCTACCCTCGGACATCGGGCAAGGCGGGGTCTAGCCCTCAGGGGTGGGGCAAGGCAAAACCAATCTTCCATCATTTGGGCAAGAAGTGTAGTAGCGTTCTTGTCTGACCGGAAGTGTCAACGTTCGATGGTTATTAGTTCCACCTCATTGGGTACCCTGGTATTATGTCCCCGACTGTAGCCCCCCGAGCCCCCGGGTGATTCGGATAGAATCGCCAGAGGGGTATTTCGATTCGCCAGAGGGTGCACGCGAGCGCACCCGTAGGGTGTAGCCCCCGAGCCCTCGGGTGATTCGGATAGAATCGCCCGGGGGGGTATTTCGGACCCTTCGCGTGTATGACTATGAGATTTGGTGTTTTTGACAACTAGATAGCTTAAAGGAAACCCTGGTATCCCATTCGCGGGGATTTGTCCAGGGTCAGCCCTATTGAGACTCGATTGCGGATCGAGGCTCCCTTGAGGCTCGTGCGCCTAAGTTCTGGCCTCTCGCGGGCCCATCCCTCGTTGGGATGGCCGTCAAAACTATTGGGCCAGCCCTCAAACTCCTGGGCCCAGGCAGGCCGGAGAAATGCCTTTTGACCCGTATCCCCTCTGTGGGAAAAGAGTCCTGGTCTACTCGGGAAGGCAAAACGTCCGGCGTGATTTGGGTGGGAAAGGATAGGGATCACGGGCGCATATCCCGCGACGTGATGTGGTGGCGTATCGTGGTAGGCTCAGAGATCTAGGCGGGTGGTTGCTCTTCTCGCATCTGTCGTCCCTATAAAACCAAGGGGTTCGCCCCCAGGGTTCCGTACTTTACCATCTCGCCTTTGCATCTACGACTTCCACTGCCAATCGTCTGAGCCTCCCGAACCCGCATCGTAGCCGTCGTCAAGCTTGCGTTCACCCCCCTCCCAATCATTCAATGGAGCTGTGGTGCAGATCTGACATCACCCCTTAGTGCCTGGAGGGCCTCGTTCGCCATGGCCTCCTTTGCCCGCTGACCGCCGCCGAGGAGTGGCGGCTGCCCGGTGATGAGGATGAGCCATCGCCGCCCGAAGGCTATGTGGTGTCCTTCACTCGCTTTCACGAGCGGGGGTTCGCCATCCCCGCCCATAAGTTCCTTCGGGGGCTGCTGGATTACTACAAGGTGGAGTTGTAGCACCTTACTCCCAATGGGGTCCAGCACATTACGACGTTCGTCGCCCTATGTGAGGGGTTCTTGGGGATTAGTCCCCACTTCGACCTGTGGCGACATCTCTTCGCCGTCAACCTTTTGAAGAAGCGGGTCAGGAAGCAAGAGATGAGCGTGCCGGTGGGATGCGCCGGCATTCATCTCCGCAACAACCACGTGAATGAATACCCGTCGATGAGTCTATCGACCTCCAACAAGGGGTGGCATTCGCATTGGTTTTACATCAAGGACGACGTTGCCTCCCCCTTGCCAGTGTTCTCTAGGCACATCATCGAAGAGGTCCCAGAGTCATGGA